AATCTAAATGTTATGCTTGTGGCAAGATGGGCCATCTATCTTTCAAGTGCAGGAACAATGAACATACACAACGACCGAAGAAACAGCAGTCCAGTCAAAGCAACATGGTGGATATCCGAACAGCCGAAGTTTTCACATCCAATCAAGCAGCAAAGCGGAAGATCTGGATAAAACCGAAGATAAATGGCATTCCTCATCAAATGGAAATAGATACAGGATGCGAACGTAGCATGATTTCAAAGGAATTCTGGGAGATACTTGGTAAGCCTGCCTTATCAAAATCAACTTTGCAATTCAGGACATACACAAATCAAATTTTTCAAATGGGTGAGTTAAATTGCAAAGTAAATTATAACAATGAGAGTATCGATCATGTGTTTCCAGTAACACAAGGTTCTTCATTATTTGGACGTGATCTGCTGCGCAAAATTAAAGTAAATTGGTCAGACATAACTGCACAATGTAATGAAGTCAAGAAAAACTTAACATTACAAAATATTCTTAAAAAATTTGCAGATGTATTTGGAGAACCTAAAGGACGCATCAAGAATTTTAAAGCAAAGATAATTCTTAAAGACGATGCTACTCCTAAGTTCATGAAAGCTCGCCCTATTCCGTACGCAATCTAAAAGAAAGTACATGAAGAATTGGATCTAATGGAGAAATCTGGAGTTATTGAACGCATTAGTCACAGTGAGTGGGCATCACCGTTGGTAGTGGTACCAAAGCCGAATGAACGAGTAAGAATCACTGGAGATTTTAAAAACACAGTGAATTCACAACTGCACATCACTCAATATCCCATAGCAACGCCAGAGCAAGTTTTTCATACAATAAGTGGCAGTTCCATATTCTCAAAGCTAGATGGTAGCAATGCATATCATCAAATGGAGGTGGAGAAAGAATGTAAAAAATTTCTGGTAGTGAACACTCATCGAGGATTGTATCGTTACAACGTCCTTCCTCAAGGCATTTCGTCGTCACCTGCTATTTTTCAAGAATTTGCAGACAAAATGTTACAAGGCACGCCTCATACAAGTACGTATATCGACGACACACTATCAGGGGATACGAGTGAGGAGGAACACCTGCAAACATTGCAGAAGATCTTCAAGAGAATGCGTGAATATAATTTTTATTTAGCAAAAGAAAAGTGTGAATTTTGCAAACCACACATAGAGTTTTTGGGACACATTCTTTCAAAACGAGGCATTCACACAGATCCAAATAAGGTTGCGGCAATTGAAATCATACAGCGT